AACGATTTGATGAATATTTCTTAAAAACATAGTAATACACTGTTACTTCCTAAAGAAGTAACAATGTAGGTAATGCTTCTTACATAAATAATTAATAAAATTAATTACAGCAGTTTTGATACGTCCAAAAGAAATAATTACAACCTCACTAATACTTCCTAAATTAATAACAATTTCTTGAATACCTCTTGAAGAAACAGTAGCAATTTGATGAACACTTCTTAAAATAATAACTATTTGACAACCGCAATTAATATTACCAAAAAAATAATATCACTTTGATAACAATAATTAGAAACACTTGATCAAGAAAATCTACCAAAACTGATTATACAAAATAAAGTTCGCAACAAAGTTTACGATAAATAATTCCAGAATCTGATTGGCGTGTTCGACTAGGGAATTTTGAATAGAAACAAGGGAAAAAAGTAAGTCGAGTGTCATATTTATGCGCAACCAGCCATAAACGTAGAAGGGGTCGGGGTGGGCGGACGACGGTGAAAGCGAATCTGAGTCGGTAGTATCATTAATATGCCAATAAAGCCAGCACAACGCCTGTAATATCCAGTTTGTTGTAAGAAATATTTGTTTACTCGACACAATTTCTTTGCAGTCAGACTTGACCACGGAGATACCAGTTGATAAGATGGCGAAAAATCTGAACGTTTGCTTCGACCGCCCAATCTTTGTTTCTAAGCAGACTTTTCATCGTGGCCGAACAATAAACGAGCAAATAGATATTTTTCGAGGTATTTTTAAACGTGATATCAAGAGATGTTGCTTGTTTACTTCGGGCCAGTTCTATCCTTTCCATCTGGATCTCACTTTATCTTGACCATGTTAAATATTCATCGAAATTGTGAACGGAAATCACCCTTCACTTTGTATAGAAAATATCGTAGATTATTCATGGCACAGTTGAAAGAACAAGTGAAACTTGAAACGTTCGTTCTGTTGTTCCTTGTAATTCCCTTTCGATTTTAATATGACTTCTTTCCTCTTTGATGACGATGGCAACTCATCGACGAGTAACAAAGCTAGTCGCGCAAAAATTTTTGCAAGTGGAAATTTTCCTTCCCTAGCAAATTTGAGAGATTGGAATTTTGGAACTTTAGAACTTTAAGATTTAAAAATTTCGTAATCTTAAAATTGGTTGACTTTGGGACTTCTTAATTAAAAAATTTTTTATTTTGGAACTTTGCAATTTCGGAACTTTTTACTTTCAGAATTTTGCAATTTTAGAACGCCAAAACTTGAGGACTTTAGAACTTTGAGATTGTGGGAAGTTAGGACCTTTTTTTAATTTTTAAATTTTACAACTTTTGAAACTTTGAATCTATGGGACTTTGAGATTGAGATCATTTAAACTTCAAAATTACTGAACTTTTAAATTGAGAAAACTGCATTATTTTGGTCTTATAGAATCGCGGAATATTGAGACACCGGAATTGTAATGCTTTGATTCTTTAGAAATTTGAAATTTAATATTTATAAAACTACGAATTTGTCATTTCGGTGTATTAGAATTGTACAATTTTAAATCTATAACACCATAACGCCTTGTAAAGTAATACAATAGTTCACGAAAATCATTTTTAATTGTAGATCTATAGGACTCCAAATCGTATTGATGCTACCAGAACTAGATGCCACAAACAATGAACAAGTTTTGTCGCAGCTAAAAAGCAAATGTTCCTGCGTAATTACAGCTTAGACTAACGATGTTAGAGATTCAACTCTATTCAATGCTACCCGCAACTCCTACTGGTTTCATGCGACAACCATTAAGCGCATACCATCGTGATTCTTACAGGTGTCGGATACACACGCAGGCCGTATTCCGTAATGTTCGGCTCTTAATTCCAAGAGATAATCCTGAAAGCATCGTCCGGAGATTCCATTATCGATGCATACCAGCTCACCCAATAAAACGTTTGTAGCTTACAGCCCTGGCTCGTCATTCTGCACGTTCGTGGATGGAACTCTCGGAGAAAAGCAAGAGATGCTGCAGTTCACTCTCCCTCCCTCTCTCTCGTTTTCTGTCTCTCTTGCTGCACCACTGTGTTTCTCGACTGACCAACAGCAAACGGAGAATAAATAAAGTAAATAGAGGAATATAGGAGGTAAATAAAAAATGTGGCAGCAGAAGAGAGAGAGAGGAGAGCGTGTAAGAGAGGAATGGACAGACGGGAGGGAGGAAGAGAGAGATAAGAAGAAAAAGAGAGTTAAAGGGAAAGAAGGAGAGGAAAGGAGAGAAAGGGAGAGGAAGGGGAAGGGAGAGTGCCCTCAGGGCGAATTCCCGTCGAGCATCGGCCGCTGCAGAATCCAGAGGTGCGTTCACCGGGGAAATCCCTCCCTCGAAGATTATCCTCTCGAAGAAAAATCAACGACTCTGCGTTTCAGTGCGCCCATCCAACCGCGTGTCCCATTGATTTACCGTATTTTCTCCTACAAACGTCTCCTTTGTTTCCTCGTTGTTAGGGTAGAACAGTTATGGAGTCCTCGCTCAGTCCCACAACTATACACCATGGTATACGACCTTGTAGTCGAACGACAGCTCCATCCTGGGCTTTTCGGCTGAAGTGATAGCCTACTGTTTCATCGAAAAGTACTTATTAGTGGTGTCTACTATTTCATACTAAATACAAAACATGTGCTACGATTTTAAAAATATTTTCAAATGATACTACAATGAAAAGGTACTAAAATTGAGCTTAGTAGCTTATTGATGCATAATTAAAAACGCTTGTGCTGTGACGAAAAATGTATGTAACTGAAATAGCTATTTTATCAACTTCAGAAAATGTGGAAGTTCCTGCGGATATTTTAAATACTTAAACGCATTTTAAATTTTAAAACGGAACGTATAGATGTTATACAATTAGATATGTCTACAAGATAACTAATCTAGACAATTACTGTGCACACGCTACAAAATGAATTGTAGAAATTAAGAGAAGACTTTCCATCTTTTTAATCTAACTGATGTGAATGACCGATTTAACTCCTGCCGAAAATATGTACGAAACTTGGAATATTTTTGTCTTTAACAAATCGCAGACGCATTTTTGGTATCCTGCCAGGACACATCTTATGATGAGCAAATAGTAGTTTACTAGATCAAAGATCTGCAGTGTAGATCAGGATCTACTAGTGCGTTGTGAGTTGACATTGTGTTATACAACTCCTTTCTTTTGAAATACACGCTACAAACGAAAAAGATACTTATTTGCGATAATGATACTCTCAGGATCTTGGACTTTTGAAACTTTGGAATTTTAGGACCTTGAAATTTTATGTTTTTGGGACATTATGGCTTAAAGATATTGATACATGGAAACTTCTTAAATTTTTGTGATTTTAGAATTTTTTAATTTTTTAATTTTGGGACATTATTCTTTAAAAGCTTGAACAATCCTTTATTAAATAATAGTACAAGAGTACATCTAACGTGCTTTAAGATAACATATTTCCTTTTTATTATCATTAATTATCTTGTAGATGCAATGTAAACACCATTGAACAGGCTGTAAGTGGCAGGAAGCGACGAATGTATGCAATTATCTCTTCACAATTAAATATTGGTTTATCATAAATTTAATTACTGTTAGTATATGAAATTCATGGAATAAATATTCTAGATATTATAATTCGATTAATATGTATTTACAATAAACACAGGGTGAGCATTTGTACTGATTTTATTAGTACAATATTTATTTTTAAGGGACGAATTTATATATTTATGTATCTGTTGTGAATTACAGATTCCTAAATTTTACAGATTGCTAAATTATTAAAGTTTTAAATTTAGAAATGACCAGATTTCAAAAGCCCCAATTCCTAAATTCCTAAATATCCAAAGTCCGAAATTTCAATGATTTATACACTTTCAAAATTGCAAGTTCTCAAATCTAAAAATCTCGAAATTTTAAATCCAAAAGTACGACTTTGTTCCTAGACACACCAATACACCTACGGTGTTCAATACGAAGTATGTAACACTTGCGACCCAATCAAATAATGACACCTGGGCGAACTGATATCATACGACTAATTTGAAGATTCGAAAAGAAACGGATAGAACACGATGATGAATTTAGCCGCGCACAAATCTGATCGGTCGTACGACATGTCTCTTCCCAGAAATCATCTCGAAGCGATCTACCGGTGAACGGTCATCTCTCTTTCTTTGTCTTTCCTTGTCGAGTCGGGTCGGCCCCCTTGTATGTCCCTGTTGCGTTAGTTGGCCAGGTCGGTGCCAGGGAGTCTACCAACGATAACCAGCTGCGCGTCGTACCGGTAGACTGCCTGCTGCCTCCGGCTGCTCCGGGGACCCTGGGACCGGTTATACTTGACCCAGCGGTTTACACGCGCTTGCCGCCGCCAGCACCACCACCGCCGAGGCCGGATCGCGCCGCTACCGAAACACGTACCTACATTGCCTGGACAAACTCCAGCACACTTGCCTCTCCCTCTGTTTCGCTCTTTCTCTTTCTTACTCGCGCCAACGACCATCTCCGACCGATACACGCTACTTCCATCCGCCTCACCCCACTCCCCCTCATTCTACTCTCTCTCCTCCTCTCTCTTTCTCAATATTTTTACGTCTGTTTTTGCATATTTAACGAGGAAATATGTTGAATCGTTAATTCGGCCCTTCTGAATGTGGATGGTGCATGGAGTACGATCGTCAGGAAATCGGGACATGGAGGATCTTCTTAATCTTGAAAAGAATAGTAAATTTCAGCATTGAACAGCATTTTCTATTTTCAAATTTAATTGATTAGAATTCATGGTATCGAGTAATGTAGTTATGAGCGTATGAATAATGTATGTAAAATAAAAATACAGTTTAATGAAATATGCTTACTAAGTAAATTGTCCTTAAGGTTTGTACGAATACTCTCTTGCAACATTCCAATTCTAAATGTTCTAGTATGAAACTTGTACAATTATGGAATAATGAAATTAACTTATAACTATGTACAGATGCAGTATACATTTTGCAATTATTTTTTCACTTCACATATTTTTCCATAAATTTACGATGAAATTCGCTTCTCAAAGAGTCATTAATAAACACATCGTGCTTTTTTGTGGGTTCAGAACGTGCACAGTTCTTGAAAACAACATCATCGTCCCATCGTCGTCTGACTTTCATATCTGTTCGTCCACTTTGAGATGAATAATTTAATAAAGGATTTCCTGAAAGAATGTTTTCCATTCTTATCCTTTCCTCTTCCTGTCGTTTTTCCATTTCCTATAATATCAAAAATACATAATGAAATTAAAATGTTAATAGTATTAAACCTAAATTGAAATATTTGCAAGAAGTTAAATGAAAAAGTTTAACCTTTTTAGCTTGTTCTGCAGCCCTTTCCTTTTTAATGCGCTGCAACTCAGCTAAAAGAGCTGCAGTATCATCTTCGTCACTTTCTGATTCTGAATCATCTTCATCGAGAGGGTCATCTGCATCTAAACTCGCTGTAGGTACTTGGTCAATTTTTTGTCTTTTAGCACTTGATGCAGAAGTTTCTCGAGGTGCTTCTATCATACGTCGATTAGAACTTTTCTCCTTTTCTCTTTCACGTTCACGTTCCTCCAGTTCCTTACGGAAGTCACGATTTCGCAATTCTTCCACTGTTCCTTGGCCATGTTCTCTAAAATTCAAATAAATAAGGTTATGTTTGTCTCAAACAAATTACGAATCTAATTTTTCAAAAATAAATTCAAATAGACGCATTTTACTTAAATATTTTACAAAATAAATTAAATACCTGTATTTTAGTTTTGTATGAGATGGTAAATCTCTACTACTGTATTGTTTTGATATTGCGCTTAAATCTTTTTCACCACGTCCTTGCCCACCTCTGGCAGGTTCAAACGTTGGTCTTGCAGCCGTGGTCATCTTACTTAAAAATTATTTATCTTATTTTAATATATAATTCAATTAATTCTCTTTTTATTAATGTGTTTTGGAAATTTTTAATGCACAGCTGATCATTCAACACGTCAAAACTATACGTTTACTCATTGAGTACAATGTAGTCACTGGGTTTACTTTGTCGTATGTTGCATTATCCACCAGAGGACGCAGACTTAAATTATCGATTAATCGAAATATCGTTCAATTCGAACGATTTAAGAATCGCAAGCAAAATTTAAAATCAGTTTTGTTTGAGCAGTTGTTCGTAGTGATTGTGATAAAATGCTCTTCTCTTAATAATAATTCAGACTGATATACAAAGAAAATTTACCTACGTATGTATATCATTTGATACAAACTTCTATTCGAAATAATAATTAAAATGAAAATAAAGTAATAAATTATTACAATATATGCAATTAATACGTACAAAATTATTAAAGTTAATGAATAAGGAGAACAGCAAATTATAACTAAAGAAACTATAATATGGCGTCATATTTAAGTAAACCGAATAAATGATAATAACTCAAATTGATATACAATGCATATGTATTTAAAATTTACTTTTAATTACATTCAAATATTTGCATTATACTTATGATAATTTTGAAAATTGAAATCAGTTTAGTAGTTAGGATATAACTGAGCAGAAAATGTACCATGTTTTATTTTCGTATATTAACAAGATTTAATTCTTGCAATTAATGTATCAATCCATCTCTTTATTATTACAGATATAGTGTTGCACAAGAAAAACAATAATTGCAGTATCAACATTTCAAGCACAAATAATTGAAAACTTTCTATAAAAGAAGATGGAAAGTTTTGTAAGTAATGTCAAATTATAATTTATTTTACTAAATAAGCAAAGTAATTTTAATTCGCATAATATTAAAATTTGATACAATTATTTTTAATGTAATCATTAACCATGAAATGTTATATCTTTATGGAGTCATACATGTAGTGAATGAAGACACAGTTTTCAAAGCAAATTTTATATTTTTAATACAGTGTTTAGGATTAATTATCTATGTATCGTTATTAGGATTATACTTATATTACTTACATAGTTGCAGTATTTATTTTCATGCACCATTCATTTTTATTATTAAATTTAAACATATATTGCATCTCTCACATACATACATAATCCTTTTGAGTTCCACTCTTTACAAAAATTCATGTCAAATTATTAAAATAATATGTATTGTGCGATATAGTAACATACTATGGTCAGACTTATTTTTAATCTTAAATTTGTTGTCTTTAACATTTTACTGGACAGAATATTAACTTTCATTTATTAAAATTTTTGCAACTAAAGAGACACTGTATTTTAAAAACATCCTTCTTCATTTTTCTAATTAAAAAAAGAATTATATGAAATTTGTCCTTTTCTATTAAACAACACGTTTCTGCTAAATAATAATTGACAAATAAGTCATATATAGAATGAAACAATAATTGCTATTTAGCATACTTTGTATTTAAACAAATTCAAGATTAAATATTGTTATGATTTTACAGTGTTTAAGCAAAATTACTAAAATAGTGCTTATGCATCAAACTTAATTTTTTTTTCAAAGCAATAAATACAAAATTAGTTATAATTATTGCCATGTTCGTTGCTAAAGCGCTTTATATAATAAAACTTCTTGAATTTGCGTTTGCACAAGATAATAAAATTCCATTATTCGGTCGCAATAGAATTTATAGTATAAACATTTTTAACTTAAATTTCTGGTATAAAAAATAAAAATGTTATATATATATATAATTTATATATGCAGTGTTTGGTAGGTCGATAGAAATATTGCAAAGGATGAGAGAAGAGGTTATTTGAAACATATTTAACTATATGTGCAAAGTATGCAACTTTTATGCAAAGTATTATGGTTTTTGAGATATTGGAAACTTTGCTAATTTCGCTTATTAACGGACAATCGAAACAAATGATTGTAGAAAGTTTATTATGATTATTATAAATTCCACATTAGTATCTTTTGTTATCTTCAGAACTTGTTTTATCTAAACCAAACAATAAAATTTGTTTGAATGTAATTCAAATATTTGGTGAGCAAATAAAGCTGCCTGCATATTGTGTCTGTAATCAAAGTAAATTTTTAATTGCTCTTCTTGCAAAAACAGTTCCTATCAAATTTATTTAACTGTTATAAAGATTATTTGGCTATTTTTAAGAAAAAAACGATAAAAAATTTACTTTGATTACAGACACAGTATACAGGAAACTTCATTTACTTACCAAATATTTAAAATCACATTGAGAAAAATTGTATTGTGTGATTCAGATAAAACATGTTCTGTAGATAAGAAAAGATTATAAGTTTGGAGTTTATAATAATCATAATAAACTTTCTACAATCGTTTACTTTTGTAATGTCTGGTAATAAGCAAAATTAAGAAAGAGGCCAATATCTCAAAAACCATGATATTATGCATAAATGTATATATAGCTTAATATGTTCCAAATAATCTCTTCTCTTTTGCAATAATCCCTTGCAATCTTTTCATTGACCTACCAAACACCCAGTATATGTTTGAAATAATAGTCTGCAAGAATTAAATTTTCCAATTAACAATTTAAAGTTCTATAAGCATAACTTTTTTTATTTCTATTATTATCACTTATTAAATTAATTACTATGAGTTGGGAAAAATAACTACATATATTTGCAAATATTCAGACACACTAATGTCACAAATTCTAATTTACACTATAAGTGGCTATTAAGTGCAATCTGAATAAAAGAAATAATATACCATGGCACACATAGTTTTACAACCTTCCACAGTCATTATTTTATAGTTTATCCATTTTGGAACTAAATATTACTATAATATATATAGTATTCTTAATTTAGATATTATAATATACAGGATGTCCTATGCAAGTGAGATAAGCTGTACCTTTAAAAAAATTAGCAATGCATCTCATTTAAAAATTAATGTGTATTTTGGTGCATCAGTGCAATAGAAAAGTTTACTTATGTTTTAATACTAAAACTATTTATTTTATAGTTTCTATAGTCTGAAATTTATCACATTACTTTAACATATTTGATATTATTCATTTTTGTTCTATATAACATTTTTTTAAAGATACAGTTTGTCTTAATTGTATGAAATATCCTGTATACATTTTATTCAGCCTTTTTCCATTCAGTATTATAAAGGTAAACTGCTGTACATTCATTTTAAAAATTTGTTAATTGCAATTTTTTGTATTAAATGAAATAATAATTATAATATTACAAATTAATTAACTAGAAATATTTATATGTCAAGTATAGATTTTTCAAAGTTTCTTTAATGAATAGTTAAAAAATTCTTAGCATACAAATATCAGAATAGTTTCATTGATGTACACTTGTATTTCACTTTTTAACTAATTAGTAAAATAAACTTTACTAAATTTATTTGATAAATTTGATAAAATTCATTTTGTTGTGATGTATACACGTACTTATTATAAACTATCCTTTGCTTGCACAAGCGGTTTTGTACTACCAAAATTGCGAGAGTATTAAAGCACATAATACAATTTACATACAAATGTAATCAGCAAAACATTTCTTAAGACAAAGCTTAATGTTAAGCGATACATAAATAACAGTACTTAGTTATTAAAACATATTTTATACATACTAATTACAATTATACAAATTTCTCGCATATAGCACATAAACTTTGCACAATTTTTCATACTAAAACCATAAGTTTGGAGTCACACGAATTTGTCTCAAGGTTTTCAAGCTTAAAAATAATAAAATTTTCAAACAGAAATTTAGAAATTTGCAAATACAAAACATTATAAATTAATAAATTTAGAAACTTAAAAATGCAGAAATTTTTGAATTAGCAACCTTCCAAATGCTGCATAGAAAAATCTCTTACTATATTGCCAATTCAGAATTATTATGATTTTATTATCTATACACCATTAGTAGCTGCAAATGGACAGTTGCCTATCTCTACTTTAAATATTCGTGTGATTCCAGCCTAACATGGTTAATATGTTTTCTGCTTCATGCAGTCCGATTATTAGCTAACATTTTTAATAAATTAATTAAAAAATAAAATTTTTCTAAGACATAAAATTTTTCAATTTTATTTTAATTAGACAGCATTTTGTGAACTATAAATATCATCAACTAATAACTCTGAACTATTCAATGTTTGTCATTTGAAGTTTTATAATATTATAAAACTTCCAATATTTGCTTTTATGTACAAATTGGTTTTAAAAAATCATACAGAGTGCAAATACAATCAAGTATTGTACCCTGTTACAAATATATCACAAGAAAATTATATAAAGAAGATATGCACATAATATAAAACGAAAATGAATTTTGAAGCACATTAAAATATAATTCTTTTTGTTAAGTACATAGACCATAATATTTTAGTATATCATTAACTAAAATGGTAAAATGTAATTACTATAAATTTATTTAGATATTTAGTAGTATACAGGTCTTATTTATATTTTTTCACTTGTTTACTTTTGTAATGTTATATGAAAACAAAAAAGTGAAATGATCAATTAAAATGTTCAATTTTTTAAAACACTGTCATCACAAAATATTTTCTTTCCTTTTAGCTAATAGTTAGATTTGTATAAATACAGACTGATTGATGGCTACATCTTCTTTACATAATACATGTACATAGAATAAATTATACAAATATATACAAATTAAGTTCTACACATGTAACATATTCTAATATACAAATCATTCAATTCTTACACAATATATACGCACATATAAATGCCCCTTTAGGTGCTCAACACCAAAATATATTATATTTAACTACATTTAAATGTATCTATGTTTTTAATGCACAGAAATTGTGTATTGATGTAGACAATATTCAATCTTGCAGTTAGGAAAAATGCAGTAAATCCTTTGTAGAAATAAAATACCTAAATACTATTTCTGCTATTTTTTTTTTGTTTTTCTGTCAGTGTAATTTTTGTAATTGACACAATTATCTAAAAAAGGGTGTATATAGTTAAATATATGAAAATACGGCAGTGATCAAATGTCGAAAACTGTATCAATTAGGCCTCGAGACAATACTTTTATACTGATTGAAGAGAATATGTTCGTTTCTTATAAAATTTGTTGTTAAACTTAATGTTCACATTTTTCTCATTCTGTATTATCACTGATAATTACTAACCAAGTAATAAAATTAAACGATTAATTATGCGTATTTAGTGTCATAGAAAAACAATAACTTTTATTATAACAATAAAATTTAAATAAGTGTGCAGTGATTTGCTTACTTACTATTACGATGACAACATTTAATAATCCATAATTATATAGTAACATAAATGTTTTTGAGCTTAAGCAAATCAACAATGGGTTTTATGTAACCCAATTTGTACTGTTTACTTGTATGCAAATATACATAAAAAAAAACTAATTAAATTGCAGATGACTTTAATTACCTCCTGATTTAGGCTGTACTTGTATGATTAGTAGCACCGCTGATGACACTAAATAAAGCAGCGCTGTTGCGTTTAAAATTCCCGACTTGTTCATCAGGCCAGATAGGTTCTCCAAGTAACGACGATAAATTCTGACAAAGCTTCTGATAGTTCTCTCGTAATACTTCTTGATATTCGTGTTGATCAGATGTAATTAATTTACTATTTATTTGAAGAGCTGTGTAACATATTTTAACAAATTCTCTGAAAAATAAAATACACATTAAGATCAAATTTTAAGTATAGTGAATAGTAAATATAGTTTATCCTAAACATAGTAGAATTTCTTTAAATATAGTAAAAATTCCTTTATATCAGTGTAGAAAAAAGGAATGTACCTAAATACATCTTTTAATTCTTCAACTTTATCATCCGGATATTGTGGGGAGAGAGCAGGATCTAAAAATGCAGAAGCATATGCTAATGGTCCAGCATTCACTGTAACGCATATACTTCCTTGTAATCTTAATTGTAATTTTTTCACATCTGTTGGACCTATAAGAGCTACATCTTCTAATTCTTGGACACGTTGGCGCATTTCATCTAAAGCAACTTCAATTGGACTTAATTCCATTATCCGTTTTTGAATGACTAAGATTCGTTTTTTAATATATGGAAAGGAATATTGTGCTAAAATTATAAAATACACCTTTAGTATACTGATATCATGTAGTAAATAACAGCGAGATAAAACTGTAACATACTTTTTAGAATTGTTCTTCGCTTCCATTGCTCTTCTGGGTTACCTCTTGCTTTTCCTTCTTTAGTAAATGGTGTTTCAAACATAAAACATGATATATTATGATTCTGCTCAAATTCTGTTTGTCGTGTTTCTAATTCAAACTTTTCGAAATATGGTGTCACGTGAGTCACTTGAATATATGCTATTTTTGGATCTAGTTCAGTTATATCGATAGGTACGGAGTCCATTATCATTTTAACGTTTTCTGCGCCAAACTTTTCAGAATATAAATGGTGTAGACGCTCTGAAATTTCTGATAAGGACGTAACTTTGGGTTCTTTATAAATATACTCTTGTCCATTTTCTTCCTCAAAATATGCCTAGAAGATATAATGCATTCATAGAATTCAAAATAAGAATAATTCTAATAATAATTCTTAATAATTCTTACCGAACCAAAAAATGCAACTCTATAGAATCTCCCAAGAAGTCGTTTTCCAGATTTTGTAACTTCAACAATTTTATTACAAGCTTGTGCCAAGTGTGAATAACAATTTGCTAAAGCTTCGTAATTTCGTTTTTCTTCATACATAGGAACTATTAATCTATATAAATGTCCTAGAAGTTCAAAACGTTCTGCTTTTTCCAACATATTTGCACAAACTTCTAATTGTTCAAGAAGTATATAGTCGTTGTAATGAATATCTTGTACACCTAAAATAATTATTATCGTACAATTTTACATTTAAAAGCGAAAACAGAAGAAATAATTCGTGCAAATATATCCACATAGATCGAAGTTGATAACAATTTTCAAATCATAAATTATAACAAAAGAAAAAAAAACAAATTAGATTTAAATCATGCATTCTTCACTTATAAAGAGAATATTTAAAAGAAAAAGAGATAGATAGAAATAATAGAAATAATACATAATACAAACATGTGCAAAACATACAAATCTCACCAGCATCAAGTTTAAGACTACATTCATCCCTGGAAATATTCTCAGAGATTTTGTCAAAGGCTTCTGCTCCCCATGAATGAACTTTTCTTAACTTTAAATATTCAGCCATTAACGCAGCAATATGTAATTGACAACAAGCAGCCTAAAAAATAAAATTCAAATTACAGAATCTTGATTATGTTACAGAAACTTCAAGTTAAAACATAAATTTAAAATATCTACCTCTGAGAAATTTCCATCTCTCGCGTGATTTCTAGCCATAGTTTCTAACCATGTATGTCTTAGTTCTGGCGTACTAGCATAAGAATTAGCCAAACTGTGTTGCAAATCTACCAACATTTCAGGATCATTATTATGTTCTCTCATTTGTGCTGTTGCCATTAATACAGTTCGAATTCTTTTATTAAGATCTTTAACTTCAACTGGAAAACCAGTTCCCTTCATCACTTTATCTGATGATGCATAACTGTTTATCAATGAAAGCGATTCCTGGAATCTCGAGTTATTCAATCCAATAACGTTCCCAAGCATTTGAGAAACAGATATTATTACCTATACAGATTAAAAATAATATTTAAAATATCATGAAAAATAAAATGAATGTAAGAATTACTTTTTTAAGATATTTACTTGTAAATGAACTCTTGTCAACCCTTTCCTACTGGTAAATTCAAAATTACTTCTCATGAGAAGATATAGTAAAGCACAGGATTCCTGTCTAATAGAACTTAATTTGCTATTACAGCAACGTAATAATTCATAACATAAACGTCCACATAGTACAGCATTTCCTATAAAGTCAATAATATTTAATTAATTAAAATCAATAAGAGAAACTTACATATTTGCTTTCATTATTAAAATTTAAGAAAAATGTAAAGAATTCATACCTTGAAAAAGAATGATAGAATAATTATTTAAAAATGCTCTAAAACTGGCAAACACGTGACGTAATAAAGTTTCAGACTGGCCAACTTGTAGAAATGACAAATAAATGCTAAATACTTTTTGCATTATGGGATTATCGCCATCCGTTGCTAAAAGCACGTCCTGCATAAAAAATGCAACATGTATACAATTTTCACTTATAACATGTACTGTTATATACTATTTTTATATATTATTTATACCTTAAAGTGAATACAAAATAATCCTAAGCAGTCTAATGCAATGAGACCAACTTCTGTAGCCATATTTGCTTCTAAAATGGCTTGATGTACTTTTCCACCGTCGTTTTCAACAAGATTTTCCCTAACTGTAGTATTATGCGGTTGTAATGTGCTTGTAGCTGGTGTATCAGTAGAAAAATCAGGAGGTGCCATTCTGGCTGGTAATGTCATTGCTTTCGCTGTTCGTGGTTTCCCCGAGTTGTTCGCTATATTTGTGGCTATTTGTCGCTTTCCAACATATTTAAAATGATGAAGACTCATTCTAGAAAAAGATAATGCATACATTACTTAAATATAAATTTTATGGCAACCAATTTAACATTTACTTACTCTATCACTGAAAAGAAGCTTAAAATTTCACAATCGCTGCATTGTTGCCACCAAGCAATTACTTGGTGATCTCCCAAGTATTTTATAACAAATAAGAAACAAAGCAAGATGTCTTTAACTTCTGACGACTGTAATTTATCGCATCTAGGCGATGATTGTGTAACACTTAAAGAACGAGAATGTCGTTTCTTCTCGCCAGTACCGTTTTCAATTGGTTCACGAATAATGGTAGTTTCTTGAGATATATTTGACTGAGAAGCACCAGACATAGTTGAAGTATCCGATTCTATACTGGTGCAGGAATAACCATTAACTAAACCTTGTCCTGCTATGGCCGCAAAATATGTAGAATCTCGTAGATGCATAGATGCTCTTATTGGAGACTGCGTATCCAAATGTACGGTAAGCCTGTATACATTGATGTATAATAAAGGTTATTCGAGTTGAATATTTATTTTTTAAGGAAATAGTAAGAAGATTTGTGTTCACCTATGAATTGATTTTGGAGTCCCAACTGTTGTAATATTACTGGAATTATCTTTGTTTGCTAAAAATGAACTACTCGTTGATATTCTATCAGTACCATTTTGCTTCATTTCTGTTTTAGTGTTATCATGAACAGATTGCAATCGATGTAAATTTTCTAAAACAATACCCAGCCACGGTATATAAATAAAAGCTATTCTGCTTAATTGACCCTGCAATAAAGAAATTCAAACAAGTTACAATTAATTTATTATTTTATTTGTATAGTTACTTTATATAATGATTACAGCACTCAAAAGTAATTTTAAATAAATCCAAAAGCTGCATGATAGTTAGTTTGTTTACCTTATTTTGATATCTATCATCAAGTTCATGCTTCGCCATTAAATCTCGTAATGTAGCTATTGCCACTTTCCGAATTTGTACAATTTCATTTAGAGATGTTTTAACCTCTTGCATTAAAAGTCCAACCAAGAAATGATGTTTACAAAAATCTTCCGATAAACAATATTCATTCATTAAATCTGCAATGAATATTGTATTTTAATAAAATTATGTAATGTACAATAATTTTAAACAATGTGAAAATAGCAAAATATGCACATACATGGGCCACCTAAAAAATATTTAGGATTAAATGAAATTAAAATTACTTAAATAAAATTTGTTAATGAGTTGCTATAAATTGTTGACTATAGCGTGTTATGCTTTAGTTTCAAATGACATACTAAAACAACGAAAATATATTACTTAATGAAAATCTCTCACTTTCTCATGATTATAATAATAATAATAAGATAATTATTTCATTATAGTACTTATAACCTTATAAAATATTTGCAAATTCATGCACTTTTTTTCGTATAAAAAAGTTTTCATACAGTGAATCTCAATATAAACGTGTAACATTTTGTAAGAAAATATAGTGTATAACATAAAATGTGTGTGTGAAAATGAATCTTATACATATTTTATATTACGTAAATATAAAATATTCTATAAGTTATACTTGATAACTTTTGGTGCATTGTAATGATAAAACAGGCTTGCATAACAACAGTAAAAATGCCAAGAAAATATTTTCTAAACATCTACTAAAGTGATAGTGATTAATGTTGAGAAAATTGTGTGGACCTCCCTTTCACTATGGCTACAATTACAAATCACAATAAAAATGGGAGTGTATGACTTAACATACCATCACATTCTGGATCACTCTCTGTATCTTCTGAATAAAGCATAAAATTATTACATTACGAAATTGTAAATACCGAGTAAAATATATGTAGAATTTCTCAATTTTACCTCTGGAAGTAATTCGTGATGGCATCATTGGTAAGTTGAAAGACACATAATGTTCATGAGAGCATATTATTTGCAAAAACGTAAATTTAAAGTCGTGTAATGCACGTGGATCTCCGGGTGAAAAGTTGTCCATATACAAATTAATAAGATGGAACACGAATCCACGATCCATGAATGTAAGACATCGCTATTATAGGACATAAGAAAATGAATGTAAAAATATTTAATCAAGTATTTTACTTAACAAATATTTATCTACCTTTAAAAATTGTGCAAGACTTTTGTTTAATTCATGAGTCTCAACAGGCATGTCTCTATATTTATTCATTAGATAAGGCATAATTACTTCCACTAAATTTCGAATTTTTTCATGATATTCTTTTGAAAATCTTTCGTTCCTATGCATCTGTAAAATAAATTAACTCAATTAAATTTTTCTTCATAAATTATATTCAATTTATAATTATTAGAGTAATATGTTACTGAAAAATTTACTTTTATTCTTCCTGTTGAAAGCAAATGTTGTGCCATGCTCTTGATCATTATTTCAAAAAAGAAGTTAGAATGATGCATAAATTTATTTACTACCAAAAAATCAGTATTGTTTGGCTGTAATAATGTAGGAAGATGTTTTCCTAGTTGTTCATGAACGGTTATACTGCCATTTTCTTGAGAAGACGGTACAAAAACAAACTATAAAATATTTAAATTGAAATTAATAAACAGATTCAATTTCATTAATTACATTTGCGAGCAACTTTTACCTTAATGTAAGCTTGAAGCGTTTCCTTCCTACCAGCTTCATGCACCATATTTATGAAATGTATTAAAACTCTTATAATGTATAAACCAACTTCTTCATTGGTAGTATAAGTTAACAATGTAAATAGTTGATTCAATATGGTAGGAAGAAACGTGATAACAGTAACCAGTTGTACTGCATGAGCAGCTTTTAGGATTTTACACGTTTCTGAATCCGCTGGTACTACTCCTACTTTCATATCCAGGATACGTTCCATATGAGCAAATAAGTTATGTAAATGTACATCGCGGGTAAATACAGTTGAAATTAACTGAAATGCTACTGTAAATACTGGCCGCTGAGAATCGATCCATACGATTTCTGGTCCTGCATTCTAAAACATTACAAATTTAATTGTTGAACCAAAACTACTAAAAAATTATTAATTGTTATTATTAATTATTAATCTTTGAGGTAAAAACATTGTAATATAATTTTTTTATTTAATATTAATCTTACTCCTTTTCCTAATCCAAGAGGTTGTATCGATAAATATCCTGGAGGTAAATGCGTTGCTACTGGTAACATCTGTACATTCATATCCATATCCACATTTAATCTGTATATAAAAATTTACTAATTTTCTTATTATATAATTATAAATTAATTGAAAGATTTAATAAAAAAATACAGATTATATTAAAATATTTATTATATAATTTATTTTTACTATTAGTAACAATTTGAACTATGTAATATATATTTTATTTCAAATTGTTTACTAATCATATGTGAATTATTATTCTTTGAATTGTCATACCTTCCTTTGTGCAACAACGGAGACCAGGCGTAACCAACACAGCTTTCAACTCCATTTTCTTTCTTCTTATTCATATCACAACTTATATGATAGAAGGAAAAAAGCAAATGATGCTTGGAGTGAAGTTTCGTTGGCAATCGTATTTTAATCTCTTCATACCATGAAGGAACTGCATTATGATGTAAAACTGAACAAGAAGCTCGCAAGCATAAAAGTGGAGCACCAGGTCTTCCATATATACACTGTTATAGAAATATACAAAAATTACAATTTCTATGTAATATTTTATGGATTTCAACATCAATATCATTATGTTATTTAATATTTTTGTAAAGTATACCCTTAAAGGTGTAGCATTTTCACTGTCATCATCTCGTAGCTCAACAATACATGCAATATTTCTAGCTCTTGTGAATATTTTTTGAGCATCAAAGCAAAGCGTTTGGGGATAAACATAAAGATGGTTAATATACGTCGTGTAAGGGTGAACATCTTTCTCTGAAGTACTTTCAAATTCTGCAATTTCAAGAGTTGGTTCTGAAGTTGGTGGTAATGGAAATGGTTTTAATGCTGCTAAGGACGTAGATAATGTATCTAAACATAAAAGCACGAAATTAGTCATTTCACTCTATAACATTATGTACTATAATTACACACTAGATACATACTATCAGGTAATTCTGTAATTGACTCAATTTTTATTTTTAACCAGCCAGGTATCACAGTTAATTTACTAAGTTTTTCAGGCCTGAAATAAAAGGTATTAAAAGGTATTCATATACATTTAAACTTAATATTATATTTTGATAATACAAACTTTCTGTATTCCAAAAGAAGTTTTAATAATTCATCATCTTTTATTTTATTCCCCTCTTGTCTATAAATTGCTGGAAAATCTGATGACGTATCCAATTCATTGCTATATAATCTAAATAATGGTCTAGCAGCCCAAGCAAAGGGCATTCTATAATTTCCCAATCTAAAACGTTTTAAATTAAGTGAAATTTTGTCTACATACAAAATAATACAGAATTATATATTTTACATGCATAGTAAAATGTACATTTACCTTTGGCAGCATGCTCTAACTTGTTTATGTACTTTTAAACCTAAACGTGGATCTTTTGTAGCTCTTAAATATGGTTCAGAAGTTTGACATATGTTCCCTTGCAATATTTTATCTATTCTTACCACCAAAAATATATCAGGATGAGGATTGCTAATACTAAATATAGCCTGGAAGGATATAAATTACGATCAATAAATTATAGAATAATATATTGAAGTATTAAGGAATAAATGTAAAGAAATAAACCTGTTTTGGGTATTTAATCCAGTCTAATGGGATACTTTTTAAATCATCCGGCAATTTTACATTCTTTGTAGATTCTGTCATAATACCTACTGGACTTAATTCTTTTACCATTTCTTGAACAACTTCATGATTAACGTCAAAGTGAAAGTTTTCAGTAAGTTTTCTAGCACTTCTGGCATCGTATAGACTCAATGTTGTCTGATATGGCTCTACTTGGCATAATGACTCTTTTTCATCTATTGGCGCTTGTAATCTGAATTTAAGACTTTCACATTTTACAAAAATTCGTTGTCCAAATTGTTCTTTATATGGATCAATATTATTTTCAGTAGAATTTCCTGATTGTTGCTTACTGTGTGGAATATAAGGGTAAATATTAAACAATCGTTTGCGATTTTCACGTCTCGCTAATGCTATACTTGTATCAGTTTCTCTGGAATATTTTATTAATTGTGGATTCATACTTTGTTCCAAACCTTTCAATGTTCCATAAACCTATAAATAATAACATAAAATTCAACTGAGTTACATGTATACAAATAATTTGTTAAAGAAATTAATATACTACATCTTTTGACAGTATATATTTGTTTTTACTTTAATTTTAATACCTGCATAGGCTGAGGAGAAGGAGGAGGTGTATTACATGCTCTTTCTAACGAAGCAGCTCGTTTTTCTTCTTGCTGTTTATAATGCTGTAATACTGAACTTAGCTTTAACAACCAATCCTGCATATCTGCTTCATTATCTGCTGCTAAAGTATATGATTTATGAGTCCCGCTCATTCTTAATTCAAAACAGTATCTTCCACGTTTAGGATTTCTAACAACTTCAGTACAGAAATCCATTACTATTGTTAATTTTGCTTCTCCTTTCTTTTCATCTTTAAAAAGCTCAAGAATATATGTGCCATCAACTTCTTGTCTAAGATTACAAAATCTTCTTTTGAACGATTTTGAACCAATATTTGCAAACATACGATCACTACTACCAATTTCTGGTCCTTTCATTAAATAACCTTCTTTTGTTATTCCATTGCTCTTTGTTAGCTCCTAATTAAATTAAACAATGTGATTTAATTCATTTACTACTTTAATCTTATTCTTTAATCATGCATTTTCATAAACAATACTACAGTGAAGCATTATCATAAAATTAACAATAAACTAAATACTAAATATCTTACCTCATCAACTTGGTCTACTTCTGTATCAATTTCATAAACCTCATCTTTTAGATCATCTGCTTTTGCTATTCTAAAAATGAGAAAAGACATGTAAGCTAATGCAATATATTTTACTTAGCAATTTACATTTAATAAAGAATTATTTAAACTAGTATGTTTATAGTTATAGTAATAAAAACATACTTAGGTAATTCAAGATATGTTCCACTATATGCTGAATATTTGTAATGTATAAGATGCCAGTTAGATGTGTAACTTCGTAAACATTCTTTTGTAAGAAGGTTCTCTCCTCCTTCCTCACTATCTGAAGTTTGTGATATTGTCGGTACAAGAGTACGATATCTTCTAGGTAATACCACTTGCTAATAAAGAAAAAGATAAGAAAGTATTATTTTTTAGAATGGTTACATGAATCATTCAAACTAAACTCATTATTGTAGTCTGTTATAATGACTCATAAATTATGTTAATACTAATTTCAAAAATGTATATGTATATTATATGAAATATATGTTTTAAATAATAGATTCAAAAAACAAAGAGATTTATTAAGTTTCAAAAAGAACATATAGCCTTCAATGCTATTAACTTCCTGCATATGAACTCACAGTTATTTATCTGTTCATATAGCGGATGTAAGATCTACTAAATAGATAAGAAATATTGAGTTTAAACTTACTGAAACATCATCCTGAGGATATAGAAGAAGTTCTCTTTGTGGATCATTTTGTAGTACAGTTTTGTTTTTCAATACAAAACTTTCAAAATCTATTGGCTCTACTAAATGTGGCTTATTCTGAAAAAAAAGATTAATAAGATATTACATATTTATTGAAAAGATTTGAAAAATTCAAAAAAATGCATTGATGACAGGAAACAAAACATCTTATTTTCTACTAAAAAATACCAGATGTCAATGTATTAATGACACAAATAATGTCTAATGAACTTAATTAAGAACATTTAACAGTACAATTTAAAATAAATTACATATCAAATCTAATTATTTTACTGTTAAAAAGAATACACTTTATTCATAGGACAAAGAAATAATTAATGAAAAATGTATTAAGGTGTTACAAGGTACCATAAATGGATATGTTTCAACACGAATAACATTATCCTTGAAATGAAAATTTCACGTTTGTGCTTATTCTAAGATAAAAAAAAATAAAAATAGTTTAAGAACTTTAAACTTTATATAAAAAATCAATATTATTTTATTTATCTTTGAAGTTGAAATATTTGTACTATCCTTAATGAGTACTTATCAGTAATTATCATGAATGGTGAATTAATCATACTACAAGTACTCTGATAAATGATTCAAAGGAAATCATATTTTTATTGACATCAATTATTGCATACTTGTCGTGTGAAATACCACGAAATAATTGACAAATGTAATAAAGCGGCAGAATTGGATCTAGCAAAGGATGTCGGCAAGCCTACCTGTACAGTGCTCTCGCGTACTACCTGAGAGACAGTCTCTCGTAATTGAGCGGCCATGCCCGGCTTACCTAAGCCTCGAGTAAACTTTCTTTCACTCATCTTTGCCGATGATACGTTGATATTATCATCGTACGCCAATAAAAATAATCACAATCATTACGCATAGTTCTTGTACTGGACACTACTAACCGCTCTTTATTGCCGCAGCCATATTTACGCGGCTTCTACGATCACGTTGTTATATAGTTGAATGCGCATCGCGAGGGAGGGGTACAAAATTCAACTTATAGCGGAATCGGAGCAAGAAAAGGTACATTCAGGTGCAACGTAGGCTTCTTTTAGATAAGGACGATTATAGGAGGGGAGTACCCCACTACTTCTTTCCGGTTTTTGAAAATCAGGTATGCAAACCTGACATTTCCAAATATTGAAATTTCCAAATTTTTGAAAGACGAAATTTTGAAATTTCTACATTTTTAAATTTTCAAATCTTCAAGCCCCCAAATTCCCAAATTTCTAAATTTCCCATCTCCAAATCTTCCATATTTCAAATGACCAAATTGCTAAAAACCAAATTGTCAAATTTCCAAAAGCCTACATTTTCAAGTTTCTAAATTTTCAACTTTCTAAGACTTCATATTTCCAAATTTCCAAATTTCCAAATGCCAAAGTTTCTCAAATTTTATATTTGAGGTTTTGTGAATTTGAGAATTTATAACTTTTACAAATTTAAAATTTAAAAATGTACCAACAAAAAATCTGAATGGTGGAATAGGTTTCCCCTACATCATCATTTTCCCTAGAAAAGCTCACCATGCTCAGCAATGTACCATTTTCTGTGAAGTATATGTATAAAAACTTCTTGAGAAGTTAATTAAACTTTGACCTGATACGCGTTTTTTAAATGTTCTTATCTAATAGTAAGTTACCTCTCAATTTAATTCAGATAATACAATTTTTTCTTTAGGAATTCTGGACATTAGTGACTGAAAATTATTTGTCAAAACAATAGGTCATTGCTTGGCTAGCGTCTATTTATATGTACATGACAACGTCCTAGCAATATACATATGATAATACTCTCCCCCCTCTATGCAATTTACAGTATAGCACGATTGCTGCAATCACATATATATGCAATGCTCACATGCAGTATGTTGTTTAATTGTGTTATAAATAAACTGTTTTATTATCATGTTATGACCGAAGGCTGTAAATTTACCCCTTTTAAACGAATTACTAGTTTCTGATAGCGTAAATCTACCCCTCCAAACAACATGTTTTAAATGCAATCTAGAACCACGGCAGGCATTCACAATAGACGTGAATCTAAGAAAAATCATCGCAGATGCAACGTGCAATTTGAATGAGTAATATTTGACTAATATGAAGCAATTTTAATGCTGTTCTTACTTCTGTTTTAGAGAACACGGCGATATAGCAAAAGGAAGTTCTACCACTTGGTTGTGAGTGGCAAATTTTCAAAGTTTAAGAATATAGAAATTTGAAAATTTGCAGATTTAAAAATTTAGAAATGTAGACATTTAAAAATTTAGTTTTTTGAAAATTCAAATAATTGGTAATTCTATAGTTTAGAAATTTTGTTATTTAGAAATTTGGAAATTTGATAATTTTGTAGTTTCAAATAAAAGAATTTGTATATATTTTAAATAAATCTATTAAATTATCACTTACGTAACGATTTTCTTCCTGCAATAATTAAAAAGCGTATTTTTGAAAGTTTGAGCAATATTAAATTAATATTCTAAAACTTTAAAACATTGAGATATTAAAAAATAATAATTAAAATAATTTATGATGGCGTTTCATATTTCAAATACGACTGTACATACTCATATGTTCTGTTATATTTTGTATTAATAAATACTGGATAGAGTGAAAGACATATAATTTAATTAACTACAAAGTTTTTCATTTACCAAAGATATTTAATTTTGATATATACAGCGGTACTGTTAATAGTAAATGATGTAATTACAGTCAAAACAATACTGTATTTCTAAAATTACGGCGTGTATTTAAACATGTGACTGCAGTAACGTTTACACATAATTCAGTATCAACTACTGTAAGTCTTACTCTAAGAATTAATTTCCGTTTCATTCGATGTTTTAAAACGTCTTAAATGTAATTACTAGTATAATGCATATATTTAGTATTCAATCACGTTGGTAATTATATAAATCAGTGTCGGTTATTTGCAGAAATTTGAGTTTGTAAGAAGCTGGGTTAATTCAAAGTGTTTTTGATATCATATTATGGATGACGAGCTTGAAGATAGAATTCTGTATCAGGTGATTTAGATCAAAATAATTGAATATATGTATTTTTTAACAAATATTTATTATATGAAAAATATATTATTTACATATTTGATCTATAATTTTCATGTCACATAATTTATATTCAAAAGGAGTCCATATAATTTGACTGTTTTTTTATTTTTTCAATGTATAGTACAAGATAAAAATTAAAATAAATTTATCGTTTCAAATATTTAAATGTGTGCTATCAGTTAGAAGCTTATAATTGTATTGTGATGTTCATCCATAATAATAACATGTATCTTTCTGATTGTTTAATAGACATATGTGTCACACATGAAGCTGGTATCGAAATTTGCAGTGGGTATTCCCACTGGATTAAATGCTGGGATAAGTACTCCTTTGGGTTATTTTTGGAGGATCATAAGAGCTTATGCATTGAAGCCAGAAGTGTTAATTTGTGGCATAGTTTTGGCAGTCGTTCTGTTTTACATACAAGCTGTTGATGTATGGAGTCGTTCTTTATTAGGAAAAATCCAGTATACTCTGGGTCGTACCACATCGAAGGTATATAAATTAAGCAATAAATTATAAAGGAACCTAATATTTGGCACATTTAGAACAATATCCAATCAAAATTTCAACCTCACAGCTTACAGAAATAAATTTCATTTTTCAATTTAAAAGAAATAAATTTTTGTTTACAAAATAGTGATTGTTCAAGATGGCACTAATACAGATAAATGTGCTTTAATATGCATAAGGCATGTGAATTCCCTGCACAACATTCTAACTTGCGAATTCAAGTGAAATTGAACACTAGAGTTCATATGCAACTACATGATTCGCTAATTTTAAGAAGCATAATTTTCATACATCCTGAATGTCTTATTTAAAAATAGTTAATACAATTATAAAATCTAGCATCAAAAAGGTGTTTGTAATAAGTCATTTACCTTCACTTGCTTATTATTACAAAATTTTTATTTTAATAAATTAATAATCAAAATTATATGTAGGTATCAAAACTACAATTTTTGGTCAATGATTCTGTAAATAATGGAGTAAAACTTAGCTGGGAATTAAAACAAGGATATATTGCTGCATATGCTGTTCAAGGCCATAGAGCTCGTATGGAAGACCGTTTTGTTGTAAATGAAGATATGAATAACACTGGTGTATCTTTATTTGCTGTATTTGATGGGCATGGTGGAGAAGTAAGTTCAATAATGTTTTATAATATATTTAAATGTAAAAAATTAACCAATTATCAACTAATATCTTCACTTTTTCATTTAACATCATAATTTTAAAATTGTTTAACTTATGATTTTATACTGTCTTCCACAATTGCAGATTTGAAACACATGGATAAGGTAAAACATATGTTTTTTATGATGGTAAAGTTGTACAAGAAAATACTAAAATACTAAATATTTATTGAATAATTATATTATTTTAAAAAGTTAACATGTATTTACTAAGAATGTACATTATAGATTTATATGAAGTGTTGTATAATTATGTTTCTACAGTTATTTACATGAATGCTTAGTATACATAGGAAAATTAATAGGAATTATTTTAATAGTATTAACAGTGTTTATGAAATATTTTAAAAAGCAGAGTAAATGCATGTAACCAGGAATAGAAATAACAGTATATACATATTGAAAGTATAGTATCTTATTTTATATATACTTGATAGAAATTTATACTATCATAACGAATATCAATGTGTAATGATAAATAAATTACACAATTAAATTTTTTAATTTAAGAATTATTCTGAATGAAACAATTATCTTCATTACACATTGATACCTTTACGGAACTATTCAAAAGCTGTATATAGGTATATAATAGTTAGGTATTATGAAAATTATAGTTTATTATTTAATATAACAGAGAAAATCATGTTACATGTAATATCTTTATTGTGGTTATTTTTCTATTTGACGATATTAGAAAGTACATTAATAGTATATCAATGACATGCTACTATTTTGAATGCTATTACAAAAAAATATAAAATACTAATTTGATTTGTATTCTTTTGTTTCTTCATAGTTTGCAGCAAATTATGCTCGTGACAAACTTATTCCCAACATTAATCAAAAAGTGATTGAATTAAAAGACATGATCGCTGGCAAAGCGCCTCGCGCACCAGAAGACACGAATAAAGTTGAAGAACCAGAACAGAAAGAAGAAAAGAACGATACAGGACATCAGACAGAACGTAGAAAATCTTTTCGTAAAACAGTAAGCACCTCACTAACGGATGATTGTATGAAGAAAAATGTTGGAGTAACTGATCCAGAATTACTTGACAAACTAGATAGCTTGCCAAGACCAATTACGAGAGAGGTATAGTAGATATCACATAAAATTTTTCCTAAGTATGAGATAAATACCTACTCTTTATTTAAACTTCAAGGTAAGACCATGCAGGACAACAGAAAAACCGACAAAAGTTGATATTACAAATTATCTTGATGGAAATAAGATAAATTATGGTAGATTACTAACCGACGAAGTATTAGCAGTCGATAGATTATTAGTCGAAGCTGCTAAAAAGAATATGGATGTAGCTGGTAATAATTTTTTAATAATTACATTCTATATATTTGAAGTTATACAAAATAACTTCATAAAACTTGTGACATTGCAGGTACAACTGCGTTGATTGCTTTGCTAGAAGACAATAAATTAATTGTAGCAAATGTTGGAGATTCAAGAGGTGTTATGTGCGATGGAAAAGGCAATGCAATACCTCTGTCTTTTGATCATAAACCTCAGCAGGTATATATTTTTTTTGTACAAAATGATAAATAATTTATTTATTTTACTTATTATTAAGGTGTATTTATTCTTGTAAAAATTATTTTCAGGAAAGAGAAAAGAAAAGAATAAATAAGGCTGGTGGTTTGGTAACATTTAATGGTGTATGGAGAGTTGCTGGTATATTAGCAACTTCTCGAGCTCTAGGAGATTATCCTCTAAAAGATAAAAAATTAGTAATTGCTGATCCAGATATTTTAACTTTTGATCTTAGCGATCATAATCCCATGTTTATTGTTTTGGCATCAGATGGTTTGTGGGATACTTTTACAAACGAAGAAGCTGTAGCGTTCATTAAAGAACGTATAAATGAACCGCATTTTGGAGCAAAAAGTATTACATTACAAAGTTACTACAGGTAAAATAAAACATTATAACAATGTTTTTTATGGAATTTTTACTATGTATTTATTCATTCTTTTAATATACAGGGGCTCTGCTGACAATATTACAGTAGTTGTAATTAATTTAAAAGATCGCAAATACAGTACATCAGAGACCAAAAAGAATCAATAATGTTTTAAGTGTACAACGAATTTCTATGTTTTTTCCAAAGGTATTCTAGTCATTGATTATATACTAACGGCTAAAGCAGAAATCCGGGAAGAAATAAATGTACTCTTGTTGTATGTATAAATTAATATTTCAATTACTGAAATATTTTCTGTTATTAAAGTAAGTAATTTTGTTTGCCATAACGATTTGTTCCTATACATTTTATTCAGTATTTTATAAAATCACATATTGTTGAATAATCTACACTATGTGTTTCCTTCCTGTACATAATGTTTCCAGTAATAACAGTTTATAATATCAACTTTCCGTTTGAACAGTAGAATGCGAATACAAGATGTATGTTTATTTATGTACGTTATACATTGTTGTAATGCTGACCTAAATATATGTAATGTATATAAAATTATGTACTAGAATAAAACTTTTAATCAATACTAAAGTGAAATTCTGTCTTATGAATTCTTAGTCATTTCATATTTCATGGATTAGTAAAAAAAAGAGTTATGTTCAAATTAACGACCGGTTCGCATTTTTATCGACACTGTAGGTAATTTGGCCAAAACTAAGGAAATAGGTGAAAAGTACTACGAGCGCTGCTATCGGATAATCGTTGAACTATATTTCACGGTTCATGGCCATCACGTTTGTATACATTAGTATCTGTCTCACTCATGCACCTTCGAAAATTCGACTTTATTCAGTATACAGTATTTATTGCTGTCTAAAGCGACCAGAGCACCCTGTAGTGAAGTCCACTGATGGGTGCTGTACTCGTAAAAACTTCATTTTCGCAATCTTCGAGCGTCAAAGTCAAATCTACGAAAATCGATTCGTCTCTCTCACACCAATGCGATGTGCGAAGGAGATAAGGTAATTTCGTAGATTCGACTTTGACGCTCGAATATTGCGAAAAAGTGGTTTTTACGAGTACAGCACCCATCAGAAAACTTCACTACAGGGTGCTCTGGTCGCTTTAGACAGTAATAAATATTCTATACTAAATAAAGTCGAATTTTCGAAGGTGCATGAGTGAGACAGACGCTGATGTAAACAGGTAAGATGACCGCAACGAGACACTCTCCTTAATGGATGGCGTCGATCGGTTCTCCTACTAACAGGGTAACAGAAAAGTGGAAGAAGTATGTGATATAATGGCGGTCATTTCAAAATGGTTTTGATGAGTTCTGTTAGTAATAGGAAAACAGAAAAGTAGGAGAGGTGTGAGACAAACAGCGGCCATTTCAAAATGGTATCACATCAACGTACAGTATACTTGGGGATTGTGATTCGCTTGTTACCAGGAATCGTAACAGTGGTTGAATGTAAGTTGAATAATTCTCTGTAGAGGTTGTTCTGTATAGAATAAAATAAAGTACACGATATCAGCTTAATAATAACTCTCGATTTATACATTTTGGTCCTACAGTTTTTTTTGAAGGGAGGAATGAATAATGTCTTCCTATGCATGGAAAACTAATCATGTCAGAAAATATTTAGAATTATAAAGAATGTTAGTTTGGTTATCTACTATTGATCATGATGTGTCGTAGAGTTTGTCATAGTGTAGGCCTAGGCCGACATATCGCTGTTTTGCTCGTTACAATCTAGCAATGTGTATTTCAAATCAAAAGTAATATAACAGGATAACATGAGAGTGAAGGAAGTATGTGCAGAATCGTGTATACAGTTTTTCAGACAATAGCATAGAAATTAAAAATGTTTGTTACTAAACTTTGATGGTTATAAACTTATTAATAATATCCTCGAATTAAAAATTTTTTACAATAAAGTAATGACAAATATCTCTATATTGGTCTCTTTTTCAATAAATCCTAAGCACAGGCAATTTTACCGAATGATAAATTGCTGTGAATTTAAGCAGGTTTCTTCGTGAACTTTAATTAAATTATTTAAATTTATTAGTAATTATGTATTTGAAAAAGCGATTTGAAAAGAATATAAAATTATTGTCGATAAATAATTAATGATTTAACAACCCATCTCCTCTATATTATGCTAGTCTGATATCAGGAGAACAGATTGGAACACTATCCGCTAGATGACATTGTTCAAAGTTCTGCTTATTCGCAAAATTCAACAGTATCAGAATTTAATCTGTTCGACATAAGAATCTTTATATGTATATTTGATTAAAATTTACTTCAAATCACTTTTACGAACTTTATAGATTTACAAACACAATTTCTACTTTAGTATGCATTGATGTATAAATATTTTATGTTTTGTATGTTACTTTATTACATAAAATTCAAAATACAATAAATTTGATGACAATAGAATAAATATAACTTACTGTTTGTAAAGTGCAGCCAAAATTTTGTATCTTAAATATATATTTTGCTATAAAATACTTGTTCATTGAAAGTTAATCTAACATTTAAAGTTACATATTTATTGAAGTATCACATAATAGTCAATTATTTTGCATATTTTTATCGTAACAAGTGTTTAGGAAGCAACAGACTAATTACATTACTGTAGTTTTTTAAGAAATATTATAAAAATGTTGATATATTTATATTACATTGGAGTAAATCTTATCACAACTTCAATGTACATTTAACTTATATTTAATAATATAAAAGCATATTCATAAATAATTATATTTTTCATTATCTTACCAAATTTTATGACATTGAACTTTAAACCATAAAATACAATTAAATATTTTATAACATAATTTTAACTATAATTTTTGCAGCTTTCACATTGTGAGTATTTATATTATTAATTTAATTAGCTGTATAAATTTATATCATATAATCAGTACATGATGTAAACTAATATCAAAACTATTCTTTTTTAGTAATAACGATGATAATAATTGAAGGCATTAATATTTTGAATTGCATATAAGTCAATTATAATATCATAAACAACCATCATATTTGAAATTAAATAATATATGAGAGTTGATTAAAATTTTTTAATTCATTAGTTTAGTGATATTATTTTAACACAGTTGAAATTATATATATCACTGCACATGAAAATTTTCATATACATTATCCATTATAGAAGGCAGAGGCATTTTAGGGACACGAGTGTTCTTAATGTTAAGTGTACATTTTCATCAATTAATAGTAAACAACAATATCAATTTTTTTAAATGCATTAAAATGCATAAATATTACAATGATTGATACACTTATGTTGCTTGATTAATATACATTTGTATTAATTTAGTTAATATACAAAAATAAACATATACTGTGTTATTTATAAAAACAAATATTTCTTTATACTTTTTATTGAATCAACAATATATAGTGCACAGATCACTCATGTCCAAAAAATTTAAATACAAGTAATATATACATTATTCTAATTATTTGGTATAAATTATTTTATTACGCAACTGCTAGTACTGAAGTAGCACTAGTTTAAGTTAAGTTTGTATATATATACATGTATATTTTATTAATGTATAATATAAAATATATATGTATATATTAGATGAATAATTGTATTTTATGTATGAATGGACCATTCTCGATATTATGTACACATTATTTATATCGCAAATTGTCATTAATTGATGAATGAATGTCAACCTAGTAATTCGAAATCTTCGTCTGATGTATCATATTGCGGATCTATGTGCTCAAAATCTACAACTATAAAAACGGTTGTTAAAATAAATAGATTTAAAAAATAAACTCTATTACGGGTTCAAATTATTTAAACTGTTTATATATTGTTTATAAATAAACAATATGCAGTAAGAATATTTTACATAAAAAATCGCAATGTACGTTAATATAAAAGAACTTACAACTTGGAGCTGCTATTGCTTCTGAAGCAGCAACATCTTCAGCTGGTGACCATTGTGCCAGTCTTTCTGCGCATAACTCAAGCAAAGGTTGCTTTTCAGGAGTTATTAATTCTTCTTGAATAACTTTACACAAAGATTTGAAGTCTCTCTCAGTCGCACAGAAGAAACACTAAAATAAAGTAAATTTTTTATATTATGAGAATGTATTTCATATTTTTAACTAATAAATTTAATTTTTGTTTACTAACAAGAGCTACAGAAGGATCTATTCCCGTAATAGGAATACGACTAGCAAATTTACAATGATAAGTAGCATCCATCTCAATCTCTTCTTCCTCTAGTTTTTTATCGACGCTACCTGATCTTTGTGTTGTATGAGGATCCAAATAAATGACTTCGTTTCCTATAAATATACCATAATTTATTTTAAATTATAGAATATATTTACTTATTTAATATTATTTTTAAAGAAATTTAATATATCAAACATACCAACACATCCTATGAAATATAATGCAAGATTGGGTTTTCCTCCTATCACTCCTAGAGATTGCGGGATTTTGAATGAAGTCTGAAAAATTACAGGTATGAATAAATTACCCTTAACTTCATTCATACATCAATCCATGTTTAGCCATTCATGCAAAAACATTTATTTCTTTATTACTTTAAGCCCATTAATGTAGATAGGATTAATTTCGCTTAATCCGAGACGTAGAGGTATTAAAAGTAATAAAGGCTTCCATTGGCTAGGTGCTTTTAACGGTATATTACCATCTGCTTCTGCTGTTGTACCTCCTTCTACTCTACATTGTCTTACTATGAACATTTAATTAAACAGTATATTTTAAGTAAGAGGGACTTCATCATAAGTATGAATATAATAAAATAAAACAAAGAAATAGTAATACCTACAAATATCATTAACTATTAATGTATTGTCCAGAGCAACATGTATCGTAATTGAACTCCAATCATCATATACAACTAATTTTCTGCAAATTATGATTTAATGATACATCAAGTTGGACATTTAACAGCTGGAATATTAATAAAAATATGTACTTTAATACTTGTGCTATTGTGTTAGGACCAAACCATTGTCCAACTTCTTTTCCTTCAGATGCTCCCATTGATGCAATTTGATGAATAGAGAAAGGGGCAGTTCTTCTGTCTTCAAAACGTTCTAAAATTTTCAGGTACGTACTATTTCTAGTTTCTGGTGTCCATTGCCAATCTCTACCTATTTTTTTTTATAAATGTATATTATATAATGTTATAACTATCTATTTGACTTTTTAAATATTATTTAATAGTTAATCTATTAAACTGTACCTATAATATATACAGTTTTAAGATTAGATAAAACATGAATTTACCTAAATGTAATATAATTAAAGCTTGTCCAAGGACCATCTGTCCACATCTTAACATACAACCCCAACCTTTATCGGATGTAAACGTGGATGTGTAACCACCAATTGGTACAAAACCTTTACGATAAGTGAACCATAATTTGGACCTTATATCCCTACGAATTGCGTCGAGTTCTGAAATGTAAGATCTTACACATCCAATTAACTAAAGATTTCTTTATTGTAATTCTTCGTTAAACCTTTTATGGCATTATATTGTTTTCCAAGAATCCAAACTGGCTCATCTATTTGTGGTATGTCCTCTGGTTCGTCTGAAATATTCTGTGTGAAAAGGCTATCCATTTTCACAGTACTTCTAAATGCTATCTATATCGTTTGAAATTCTTCAATATATCATGTAGATGAATTGTTTTTCTGTGCTATAAGTTTGAAAAAAAGAGAGTACAGTCCTTTCTATAAAAAGAAACAATGATTGAAATAAGGTTAAGTTTTTATGAATAAATTAACAACATTCAATATATACAATACGACCACCTTTGGTTTGGCAGAACAGCATTGGTCATTGCTTATCGAGCGAGGATTTCATTGTTTTTGTAAATGATGAATATAGTGTTATTTCACTTTATGAAAACGTGAACAATATCATAATAACAGCAACACAGCTGATTAATAAGAATGTTGAAGATAGCGCGATGATCGAGAAACCGTGAATTTTTAAGAATCGTAATACAAAAATATCACGCAAATAATACGCATGGAAAATCTGTTATTTTGAGAAGAAGCAATGCATTTAAAAAAAGATGACTCATTATATCTCTTTATGTCAAATTCAACACATATCGATCTCTTGTATTTTACATTTTTTAGTAAGGTACGTCAAACAGGTATTACAATTACCTCTTTTAACGCTAGATGGCACACATATTCACATAAGATAAATGTGTGTACATATGCCACGTGCTATGTACCTTTTCGTTCTTTAAGTTCAGGGGCGTATTAAAATCCTTAGAGGCCTAAGAAACTTAAAAAATATTCATACATTTCAGTACAAAGTTTGAAATAATAAAGTTTTTACAAGTATATGGTCTTTTTTAAAAGCAAATGTTATACTGCACATTTTATGTTTTAGAAATGGTAATTTCAAAATTTATAACAGAACATAAAATAATGTCTGCTGCAACTGTATTTTATATTCACGCTGGAAACACTGTGGTGCTTTAATATGTAAAAAGGATATAAAAGACAATAATTCATTGTAAAGTAAGTAATACAAAAAGTTGAAAGCATTTCGAAAGCATCAGTCTTACATGTTTTTTAAAATTTATATTTTCGCACTCATGGTTTCAAAAATCATATTGTCATCGTCATCTAGCGGTCAAATACTAAATCATCAAACAAGAAACTGTTCTTCCTTAAAAAAAAAAAAAAAAGCATTTCTACACTTACTTGACGCTGAAAAACTGTTCTACAAGAACCATAGACTTAGAAAAATGACTTTTCAGTGGACTTGAAGCTTTATATTCGTAAATTTAGAAAACTGCAATTTAATGGACCTTAAAATGTTTAGCCATCTAGCGGTGGAAGGTAGGAACTAACGAAACTACAGTTTCAAAACCGTGTAGTTCATCCAGTTCCCAGGAGAGATGGCGCCACTTATTCCATTTTAGTAAAAATTCAATTAATATTGATTCTATTTGTTTAATTAATTTCAATATGCATTAAATTATATCGGAGTGCAAGACTAATTGACTTTGTAATATTTTGACTTTAACAAACCATCATGAATTTTAAATAATTCTTATGGTAATTAAGGTTTCCATCTTATGCTATCTAGTTTTCTGAAGTTTCGCATTTTATTATAAGATTTGTAAATCTTCCAAACTTGAATAAATATAGAACTTATAATATAATACTGACCATTATATACCTGCTTAATCCATGCACGTTTAATACAGGAGTCTTGGAACTCCGATAGGTGCATTTAGTGAGCATATTTTCAGTCCAAAACATTTCTGTAAAAGAAAATGTGCAATAAATGAAATTATAATTTAACAGTAAATCGTAGCTCTCAGCTCGGTATAGTTTTCTAAAGACTAAAAAATCTTTAGAGAACTATACCGATTACCGGATCACACCACGTGGAGGTGGCTACGATAGTGACCCACCCTAACTCCAAATCCCTTCCACCCTCCAAATGCAACCTCATTTATCAGAAGGATAAATGAGTTCTAACTCTACTTAGCTCATAGGCTCGCATATACAAGTTCTTTACCACAATCCAGTAAAGAGCTTGTATCACACACACACACGCACATACATTAACTTAATACTAATTGCATAGGATCCCACGCATACGCTTAACTTATTCTAAACGCCGCACGGTACCTCTCATTCCAAGATTGCACTCAAATAATCTATGACGAATTCAAAAAGCAAAGGGGCAAAAAAGAAAGTTAGAAGAACTTTCTACTAAAAGAGAAGAAAGTTAGAAGAACTTTCTGTGAAAAAAGGGGACCATTATTTTTCGCCAAGCGAACCTTGCTTTCCATGGGTCAAAGGGTAGCCCACAGTGGCTTACGTGAACCACAACGGCAAAGATGAACCGAAGATACCTTTGGTAAGAACGAGTGATACACCCCAGTGAGGATAGAGAAACGTGAAAGCTTGCTCTGGCCCTACCTACTTAAAACTAACTCATTCACACCAGAAGTAAGCTACCTGCCTGCCTATCGCTATATTTAAAAAATTGCAAAGTCCATTCTCACAAAAACACACTCCACGGTTCTCACACATACCACCCGGGTGCAAATAAGCCTAATCCTAGGGAGTACGTCCCGGGACGTCTCCGACACCCGAGTTCAATACTACATTCACACTCTAAGTTCATACCTTTTTGCTGAAATCGATCGACAATCGACAGTGAACATTGAACATATTTCATTTTCGTACTCTTTCGAACATTCAATGCAATATGTACATGTAATAATTTTAACTACTCATACAAGTTTCTAACTTATTCACTTTATAAAATTTTCAAATGACTCGACTTGCATTTTATGTGCATTTTCAAATGACTCGACTTGCATTTTGTATGCATTTTCAAATGACTCGACTTGTATTTTGTATGCATTTTCAAATAGAACTTTGCAAAATTCAAAAATAAATCTATAGTTTGCAATCGACACAAGGTCCACGACCTAACCACACACACATGTGTAACTTGTGCCGATAATTCACTGTCAATTTGTCGATCGCTAATACATCTTAAAACTAAACCGTGTCCACCTGCCCTAACCCATGCGAGTAGCATCTAAGCACGCGCATGAGTATAGAGCATAAAAATGAACACGGCCACATGTATTTTGACCTACCAGTTTTCTTCATGTGTGCTGAAAATCCTGAGCTAAAAACATGATTAGTAACATGCTAATAAAGTATCTTCCAGCAAAAATTTAAACTAACTTTAAAAAATTCACAATCTAACTTTAAAAAATTTTCAAAATGGAAAATGGAAGATCACTTCGCAAAAATCTAAGTATCGATTGTTTCATTCTCAACAGATTTTTAATACCAAAGTAAATTTACTAAATGATCAAAAACATTCATAATCAACTTTGATATTAAAATCTGTTTTCCGCGAAACTTTCTTGTACATATGTGTATTTAAAAAGAGTTCACGATACAATTGAAAGTGAAAATTAAATTGAAAGAGACTCTAAAATTAAATTAGCACGAAATCGGAGGGTCATCCGACTTTAATGTACTAATTTTAATTTGATTCGTAAAGAAGTTAAGTTAAAACGCGATGTACAAGAAAACCCTGACCTGATCTAATAAATATAATAAACAGTTTGTACGAATTTTACACGATCGTACAGTCGTGGTCACTATGCTCGCTCAAAAATATAAAATACAACCAGTTCCCGTGTCGCTTCGGACCATTCGTCCTACGACATGATGGGAACTGGAGGAATCGTAAAGCATGCGACTCACCGATCGCTGACTTGCGCCACTGTGATCGTTTTACTGGTAAGGCATCTGTGACAGCACGTCTGGTAGACATTGCATCTTAGATTGGCATTTGATTGGTTGGCTGTTTGATTGATTGGCTGCTTGGTTGATTGGCTGCTTGGCTGCTTTCATCAGGTTTGGATGTGGCGGTTTGGCAGCTGCCCTTCTGTAATCATAAAAGAATCACAACGATTAGTTAACTGTGTTTCTTGATTTGCATTTTGACAACATACATGCTTTTTCGAAAACTACTTGTACAAACAGATAAAGGCATGCAGGAGTAGGTTATAAATTTGCAAACGTTTATGCAACAGCGTGAAATATTGTAAAATATTTGAAAATGTATGTCAAAACACTTGGGTAATTACTTTAGAGACCGTGGTAAACGTTTGCAAAAGTATAATGGAACACATAGGTAACTACAGTTTAAACACCAGTAAGAGTTTGTTAAAACATTTAAATAACCACTACATAAACTACACTAAAATACCAGTAATCATTTGTAAAAACATTTAAATAATTGCTTTATTAAGTACACTACAACACCAGTGACAGTTTGTTAAAACATTTAAATAACAGTTGCATAAAGTACACTAAAGCACTAGTAACATTATGCACAAACATTTAAATAACACTTGCATAAAGTACACTAAAGCACCAATAACAATATGCCAAAATATTTAATTAACCATAAAGTGCACTAATACCCAGTAACAATTTGTTAAAACACTTAAATAATCACTCCACAAAATACATTAAAACACTAAAAAATTAATAAAACATTTAAATAAGCGCACCATAAAACGCACTAATAAATCCATATACACATGCATAATCACTTAAGGAAACACACTAGTAAAGTCACTGATACTTGTAGAACCACACCATAAAATTTGTTAATACACCCCCATAATTGATAATAAATATTTATTAATGCACTCTAAACACTAGTAATAATACACTAGGTACACTAATATATCCGTATATGCATGCAGGAAACACAATGGTAAAATCACTGACACTTGTAGAATCACACCATAAATTTTATTAATACACCCCCATAATTAATAAAAAATATTAGTTAAAGCACACTAAACACTAGTAATAATACACTAGGTACACTAATATATCCGTATATGCATGCAGGAAACACACTGTTAAAGTCACTGACACTTGTAGAATCACAACATAAATTTTATTAATACACTCGCATGTTTATTAAAAAATATTTGTTAAAGCACACTAAACACTTGTTATAGCACATTAGGTATCATAGGGACAATCACAGTATGAATTAAGTAAACCCTTGACTCGTACCGGTAAGTGTTGACAGGGCTCGTCCGACTTCCTCGACTTCCAAAATACAACTGAGGCATTCGACCGCTTCAAGTGTAAGAGTGATTGGTAGTATACAGTAGCCAATTAGACATCACGTAATCCACCAATAGCGTGTTACCAGTCTGATTGGACGTTGTATAATTATTCTAACGTTAATTTTGTTATAATTTTATATTTTTCGATTGCTTATTAACAAATTTATTATTGCGATTATTTAAAGTTATTATTTTTTTTAACTTACTTTTGCAGATGTGTTGCAAAATGATTGTTAATTAGTACACTACGATATATTTTATTGTTATTAATAATTTTTTAATTATTTATTTATAAAATTATTGTTATAACTACTCAAATTCATCATTTTTCGTTGATTCCTCTCGCAGATATTTTGCAAAATGATTGTTAATTAATATATCACAATATATTCTATTGTAATTAATAATTTTTTTATTATTTATTTATAAAATTATTGTTATATTTATTAAAATTCATTATTTTTATAA